CGTCTGCTAGCTAGTCGGTACGATCCACATCACCTGCTGCTGTCTTAAAATGACTCTAAAGTTCTAAAAGTCTCACTGTGAGTTATGGATTCAGTAGTATAAACAACCACATTACAGGTCATCACATGAATATTTCATGTAAGATGCTCAGACAGGACGTGCTACTCGTAGCTGCTGGTGATTTTTGTGTTAACGAACAACCTCATAGGTCAGGACAACACCCGTGGAAGGGAGCCTAGCCGTTAGCTTATCTGTCCTAGAAGACGTAAAAGTTATTTCTCCAAACAAAGGCTGTTCAGACTGGCTACAGTGGGTGGAGAAAGGCTTTCATACCTTTCACACTAAAACACACCTAAGGGTGACCCGTCTGTGTGAAGGTTTTCATCACGTCTCACTAAAACCACGAGGAAAGAAAACATCAACTACAACCTGAGAGGAACTCTTCTTCACCTTACATGTGATTAAACGTGGTTCACACACTCGAGCCAGTCGGGTGTGTGTGTGTGTGTGTGTGTGTGTGTGTGTGTGTGTGTGTGTGTGTGTGTGTGTGTGTGTGTGTGTGTGTGTGTGTGTGTGTGTGTGTGTGTGTGTGTGTGTGTGTGCGTGTGCGCGTGCGTGCGTGCGTGCACATCACCCCGCTTCTCCAGCTTCACTGGCTGCCAGTCAACTTCAGGGTTCTGGTTCTGGTCTATAGGGCCTTACATGAAGAAGAAAATATCATTTCTACAGCGCCTCTCAAGATAAAAATCATGAGGCGCTTCACAAAACAATACATGTAAAATATAAAAAGAATTTAGAAAATGATTGAAAATATATTTAAAATGAGCAAAAATAGACAATTGTGATAAAAAATGTTAAGAAAGAGAGAGAGTGAACAGGAAAGAGGGAAACCAGTGGATCCTGAGGAAGGTGGAATAGGTGGGGAGAGCAGAATAAAGAGAGAGAGGTGAAGAAGGTCATACAAAAGCCAGCTTGAACAAGTGAGTCTTCAGCTGCTTTTTAAAGGAGACCACTGAGTCCACTGATCTCAGGCTCAGGGGGAGAGAGGTCCAGAGTCTGGGGGCCACAGCAGCAGATGATCTGTCACCTTTGACCTTTAGCCTGGTGCTGCACAACCAGTAGGCTTTGTTCACTGGACCTCAGGGACCTGCTGGGGGTGTAGGGACTAAGAAGATCACCAATGTAAGATGGTGCTTGTCCATGTAAGGCCCTATAGACCAGAACCAGGATCTGGAAATGAACCCTGAAGGTGACTGGCAGCCAGTGAAGCTGGAGGAGAAGCGGGGTGATGTGGGTGTGTTTGGAGGACTTGGTCAGAAGCCGAGCACAGGCGTTCTGAACCACCTGTAGACGGTTCAGGGAGGTTCTGCTCAGACACGTGAAAAGAGAGTTACAGTAGTCTAAGCGTGAGGAGATGAAGGTGTGGAGAACTGTCTCAAGTTCAGAGCGGGACAGAATGGGACTCAGCTTAGCAACGTTCCTGAGATGGAAGAAGGAAGAGCCAACAAGAGAACTGACATGAGAATCCAGGGTGAGAGCTGGGTCAAAGGTCACGCCAAGATTCCTGACGGAAGGTTTGGTGTGGGAAGCAAGCTGAAAACATGGACAAGCACCATCTTACATTGGTGATCTTCTTAGTCCCTACACCCCCAGCAGGTCCCTGAGGTCCAGTGAACAAAGCCTACTGGTTGTGCAGCACCAGGCTAAAGGTCAAAGGTGACAGATCATCTGCTGCTGTGGCCCCCAGACTCTGGACCTTTCTCTTTCTTTACATTTTTTAATCACAATTGTCTATTTTTGCTTATTTTAAATATATTTTTAAACATTTTCTAAATTCTTTTTTATATTTTTACTTTTTTTTGTGCAGCGCCTCGTGATTTTCATCTTGAGAGGCGCTATAGAAATGATATTTTCTTCTTCTGGTGGGGTGGGGGGGGGTTCTAGAGCTAGTCAGGTGCATCTCAGCTGTCCCCCATCCTCCCCCAGGTGACGCTGCCTCGTGAAGCACGTCTGAGGGGACGTCGTGGCAGACAGCCACATTGGCTTTAGCGCTAATTGGGAACTTTTTCCAACTTGAAGCAGAAGAAAGAAGCGTTTTAGTGAATCTGAGCAGTCGCAGCATCAGCATGAGGTCTCTGTGTCGGAGCTGGGATGTCGGTGGTTTGTCCTCATTAGAGGACAGCTGACAGACAGCACTCCCGGTTTCATCCTGCCTTTCCCCCACAGTCAGTCCCAGTGACAGCAGCCGGAGGTTTGGTCTCAGCCCGGTCCGGTCCTTGGAGGCCCCCTCGCTCAAGCAATCAAATGGAGATCTGAGGTTGAACCCCCACTGGAGGCCTCAGAGCCCAAAGAGTCCCAAAAGTCCTAAAGTCCTGCGCCTCAGTCCCCAGGAGAGCAGGTAAGCCCCGTCAGCGTACTGGTCCGGAGTTGAACCATCACCCACCCTGATTCTAATTCTGCCTCCTTCCAGTCTGTCGATGCGGGCCAAGCTGCTGGTGTCAGACAGCGTCCAGAATGGAGAACCCAGGGAGGACTTTGAGGAGTACCGACCGCCCACACCGACCCCTCCCCCTGCTCAGAATGGTACAGCCCACTCCCCGGGCCACACGTCCTCCAGAGTCGTCAGTGGAAGCTCAACGAATAACGAATCCTCTTTATTCTCGTTCTACTTCTGTTCTGTAGGATCCTCGGGGAAGGACAGCCTGCGGCTCCCCCCCTCTCAGGGAGACTCCGGCAGTGAGGAAGGAGGTTACTCCCCAGCTGGCTCCCCCATGCCTGAGAGGGGGTCTCACAGCGGCATAATTAAGAACACACACCGGGCTCTGCTGGGCACTGGCTTCATCCTGGCATCTGTAGGACTCGGCCGATGCCTGGAGATCCCTCCCAGGGTGCCTCCTCGAACTAACCCCCCTTCCTCAGAGGAACGCTCCTCCTCTGAGATTGAGATCTCCTACCCCAGACCCCTGATCACAGACCCCCCTGTAGTGGACGACCTCATCACCTTCTCCACCTCTGAGCCGCTCCCCAAACCACTTCTGGATTTAGCCCTGCAGTACCAGGAGCTGAAACCCCTGCAGCTGACGCCGCCCCCGCCCAACCCCCGTGAGAGGTCTGGACCCCGGACACCACAGCTGCACCACAGCCCGCCAAGTCCAGGACCTTCGCTGCAGCTGGACAGAGCCAGCCCAGGGGACTGGACCCTCAGTTCTGGTTCCAGCAACGGGGAGTTGAGCTGTGAGAGCTTGGAGCACAGATCTGACAGGAGGAGGAGGTCCAGCCAAGGCCTGCATGCTTCTCAGCTAGGTCAGTCTGGTTCTCAGCATGGGGGGGGGGGTGCTCTATCAGAACCTCCAGGTGGAGCTGTGGAGTCAGGTTATTTACATTTTGGTTTCTGCTCCAACAACGATGTAGGCAAGACGATAGTCATTTATTAAGTATCATCCTGCTTTACTGAAGGTTGGTAGAACAAGGGCAAAACACACTGGAGGTGTGTAATTTCTCCATAAGCGTTCCTGTAAAAAAAACATTCTTACCTTTAAATTTCAGCCTTTATTTGAAGTTTTGATGTCATTTCCTGTCATGTTTTTAAATGTAAACATTCCAAATATGGTGCAGAACCTTAATTTGAAGAAAATTACGAATCAATCAAATAACAACCTGCACCAGAAAAATCACATCTTTTCCTAAATCTTTGAGCCCTGCTGAACATCAAGAGGTGTAACTTCCTTTTAAAACCCTTCACAATAAGAGTCATAAAGGTCGCATGTGCCTAAACAAAAGATTTCCCGTCTATTGTCTGCATGATAAAAATGCTACGTCATGCAGAAGAATGAATGAATGAATGATTGGATGAATAATGATGCCAGCTGAGGTGGCTCGGGCGTACTTTCAGCACATTTGCCCCCACGTTTTAAACACTGATGAGTTTCATGTTGGATTATTTCCTTCATCTGTTTGCCGTCCTCGAGCCGTCCCACCAGCTGGTCTTCTAAGATGTTCGGTTTCTGAGCAAATTCTCCACCAAGTAGTAAAAAGAGCCACGTGGGAATTTAACGTCCTCCTCCCCTTCCACTTTAACTACGACTACATTTTTCTTGTTTAATATTTGACTTTCTGCTTTAATGAAAGCTCTCTTCTAAATCACACGCGTGTTTCTGAAGTCACGTCTCCCCAGACTGGCCCTAACCCGGTTCCTCACCAGACCCACACAGGGACTTTAACCTGGGATCGCGGACCTCCCCGGCATGACCGTGTCCCCTCGCAGAATTAACACGCAGCGTTTTTAGCTGCATTTTATTTCCTGACACGAGGTAGACTCTGTTGCTGCAGCAGCAGCTGTTTGGTTTCCATCAAAGCTTCTCTTTAGCTGTTTGCATATCTCAGGTAGCAGCTGGCACTCGGCCGTGCTTCACCGCTAATACCTGCTAAGCAGCGCTAGCATCCAGTCCTCTCTGGCTGTCATCCTTCCAAGACAAAGCCTTCCCTGTGAACAAACACCTGACGAGGCGTTAGGGCTGTAGCAGTGCCGCAGCTGCTGATCGGTATCTGGATAAATGTGTGACGCTCATCAGAGAAAGGCTTCAGCTAACAGAAATGCAGGAAGGATCCAGGAAGCATGAGAAAGTCAAGTCCCGGCATTCATAGAAGGTAAATCACCAACGTTCACTTCGCAGTTTAACTTAGACGTGAGAAAAGAGGGTTGTGTGTTGACTCTCAACCACCAGCACATCAAATATTAGCTCAGCATCTATAAATGTGACCCAGTTAACGCCGTTCTTGTGTTTGCTCAGCTTGATCCGCGGTGGTGGTCACGCTAAATCAGGTTAGCCTCAAAAGGAGCCCTTTACCTGGCCGCTCAGCTGCTTTTAGCTCCTCTGGCTTCATTTACTACAGAACAAATAAAAACTGTATGAAATGAGGATGTTTGTATGGAAAGTAAAACTTCATCACATTATTGCATCATTATTATATGATCTCATATCATATCGTAGCCTCTGCTGTCCCAGATCAGTGATAAACATGAGAAATGGATCTTGGAGTTAGTGTTATGGATGAGACCTCGTTCTAGCTCACCCAGCCCCGGCTTTCTGCTGAATGTGTAAGTGGTGCACGGTGTAATCGACGCGTTTTACCCGCCAAAGCCGTAGAAAATATCAACCGTACAGCTGGTCCCACAAGGCCAGGAAGGGAGCTGCAGGACTCCGTGTGGTTCTGGTGGTTCACGCGGCAGAAAGGGGTGTGGTTTACCTCCGCTTCAGAGCTCTCTCAGGCCAAGCACAAGGTAAGCAACTGGAAATCTGCACGCTACTTTTATTTTGAAAGTTTCCAGATGTTTTACACTGACTTCCTGCGTAGCACGTAAGAATCGCCTCGCAGCCTAAGCGACGCGTGCCTACACTGCGGTCGGTGGGAACGCACCCCTCTGCTGTGGCGGCGGCTGATTGTTGCACGCTACACTTCTCAGACGTTACGCGTCCGGTAGAAAGGTCCGACTCTCTGGGATCAGTTGGCTTTGGCGGCCATCTGGAAGTGGGTTGACTCAAACAGCTGAAAGCTACATTTTAAGCTAACATGTCTAACATTCAGAGGGTTGATGTGAACGACTCTTGGCTACAACACAGAAAACAGCCTTTCTGTGCTTGAGCTGCGCCGAGGAGCCGGCTCAGGTACCTCAGGTGTGGATGTGCAGCAGCGGCCAAAGGTTATGGGAAATAAACAAACATTTGTTGTTATTTAGTTTTGTGACCGATGTCATGATTGCTTCCTTAAACATGATTTGAATAACAACGTGAAGCATGAAAGACTCGCTCATCACCACCACCATTCACCTTATCTAAGGCTGGTTAGCAGCAGTCGCCGTCCTGTCCAGTGGTTCATGTGATGTTTCACCGCTCTAGGCCAGCTGCTAAAGCTAATATTTGTCATTAATGGAAGTTGTGATCTTTGTTCCACTTCCACCTTCAGGTGTTGAGGGAAATGATGAAATCTGGCTTCCAGAGAAACTAGCTTCTGTTTCCCTCTGAGAATCAGGAAATGTGGCTTGTTTTCTCTTTACAAGGCTGCTCATTTCATGCTTCCACCCTCCCAAGGCTCATCTGCATTTCTTTGGGGGTTCTGGTACGGGTTGGAGCTGTAGCAACACAAGTGTTGCTTGTTTTAGGGGTGAGTGAGCATGGCGAGGCCTTTCGGAGCTCTTTTCACACTCGGCGTCTGGTCCGCCTGACTCACAGCCTCGGTCGGATTCTCACAGCTCTGCTGAGCAGACTGCAGCTCACAGCCCCGCCTCTCATTACAGCAGAGGCAGAAAGCCCTTGTAATTAGACGGCCAGGCTTTAGCTCAGCATGCTGCTACGTTACTGAGTGGAGTGACGCAGACTCTGACGTTTCTGGCTGTGAAACGGAGAGGATTCCTTCAACAACTAGTGTGTCCACTCTCATGCTGATTGCTCTTTCTTGGTCTGAAGAGCTCTGCAGCCTTGGAGAGGAGCTGTTGATGTAAACAGCTCCATTTGGCAGACGCGTCACATTCTGGAAGTAGCAAGAGTTTGTTGGGAGTGATTTATTCTGAGTTGTTCGCGTCGGAGCCGGTTTACCCTTTTGCCTGCCGCTGCAGCGACTGCCGGCTAGCTGCACGGCACTACGTTACACTTCCTTTAGACTACTTACACCAACGTGCTTCTCTTGTAATCGTTTTCAGGACCGCTTTGATCTGGTTCGTTTCCAGCGGCTGCAGGTTTTCTCAGGATGTTTGGAAGAGCTGAATTCAGATTGTGTTCACCAGTTTGAGAGAAACACCAGCCTGGGCAGTCCTGGTTAGACTAAAACAATAGTAGCATAGAAGCAGTACTAATGTAAGGTGATAAATGGCTTTTTCTAGGTTTTCAAATCAATTTCATCAGCTACAAGGACTGAAATGTGGCCAGTCTGCTAGCTGGACCCAGTACTACGCTCTTATTTACTAGGTCTGGTACCAACGTACCCAAGCACCGGACTGATTGTAAGGAAACTGGATGAAATCCTTCGTTAGATTACCATGAAAGTGTCTGCAGCTCAGTCAGTTTTATAAACATGAATCCAAAACGTGGCTTCATGCAAGCAGAGGGTCGTTCTGAATACGGCTGGATCTGATGAACCAGAGCAGGACGTTTACTGAAACTTTGATTAAATGAAGGATTTGATAAGTATCAGTACTCTGGAATACGGTGATATTTATTGCTGTGATACTGAATTGATGACGGATCATTTTGGCAGCAGTTGTTAGCAGCTTGATTGTGTCTGGCTTGAGTTTTCCAATCAGTGTTGGCAACGATGGCGCACATCGTCTCGGAGTAGACCCGCTGCTCCTCCACGTCGAGAGGAGCCAGCTGGGGGGGCTCAGGCGTCTGGTTAGGACGCCTCCCTGGTGAGGTTTTCCGGGCACGTCCAACCGGGAGGAGACCTAAAGGGAGACCCAGGACAGGCTGGAGGGATGTTGTCTCTCGGCTGACCAGGAAACACTTTGGGATTCCCCGGAGGAGCTGGCCTGTGTAGCTGGGGAGAGGGAATCTGGGCCTCTGGCTGCACCCGCCGGGACCCAACTCCGGATAAGCGGACCATAGTGGATATTTTAGGGGAACACCTAACCGTTTAGCCTTTGTTCAGTGTGAAAGTGTGCATTATACTTAAAAAGCAGAATGTGACAAAATAGTTAGAATATTTCTTTGATTATATTTATTTTCCGGTCGGCTGTGAAGGGGCGTGTTTGTGCTGCGGTGCTCCAAAGACCTTTGGTTTCCACTCTTCAGAAGTTTTGATGCTGACTGTATTTTCTCTCAGTTTTAGATCTGCCCATGTGCCAAGACACGCAGGACTCCGAGGACAAGTCTTCCACGCCCTACTATCTCCACCCTAGCCCTGCTCTCTGGAGCCCCAAAACCCGCCGCCTGGACGTCAGCATCATACCCCGGCCCCGCCCCTCACCCATCCGACACCGCATCGACCCCTGGAGCTTCATCTCGGCCGGCAGCGGGAACCACAGCCCAGTCCGCTCAGACGGCAGCCTTTTGGGCTACCAGCCCTCGCCCACAAACCCCTTCACCAACTGCGACCCTTTTCCCTCTCCGGACTGTGACCCCTTCACCCTTAAAGTGGACCCCTTGAGCTCCTCGGACACTTCCTCTCCATTTGATCCATTTTCTGCTCCCTTTCCCACTTCCCGCTCGGCTCCGTGTTCCACCAACGGCTCCCCGACCATGCCGTTGTTTCGCATCGTTCCCATGAACCCCTCTGACTCGCCCCTCATCGACCTGGGCTGGGACGCCTGCAGCAAGCCTCTGGATGTGACCAAAGAGAGGGCCCATCCTCGCAGAACACTGGGACTCAAGCCCTTCAAGTCCCCGACGCAACTCCGAGACGACCGGTTCTAAATCCGACCTCACTGCCTCGTGGTGGTTAAGAACTCCAGATTTAATCTCGGCTATTCAGTCCAGGACTCTTTTCCCTGTGTTCTTATTTTGTCACAAAGATTTAGAATCTTTAGGAAAGGAAAGGAAAGAAGAAGCCTTCGGAGGGAGATTTGCCCCCATGGGAGCACCAATCATCACAGGTCTTATTTATACACCAACCCACTGCTTTGGGAAAGCAGGAATCCAAGGAAAGGTGGTACAGTCAATGGTGGGATCACTTCCTGAGATTAACCAATAGCTGGTGCTCGTTCCCTTTCTTCCCGTCTCTCTTTTGCTCCTCTCCTTTGAAGGGGGGGAATCCGGATCACCAGCCGTATCTTCAGGTTCTGTCGGAGCCCCTACCTCTGAAGCGATGTGACAATGCAGAGGTGGACCTTCCTCCTCTTCCTCTGCTGACTGGAAAGATTCAGGACAGCGGAAACGAACGGCGTGCCTTATTTTGTGAAGTCTCTAACATAAATCTGTTCAAGGTTTCTTAATCTGGTGTGTAGCGGAGATGGAACGAATTTGGCCCCAACTTCCAGAACATCTTCCAGTTTCTCTTCTAAATCATGTCCGTTGCACTTTGGGAGAATCCAATCAGAGCTGGTATTCTAGCCCCGCCCCCTCCTAAGTTCAAGGCCAAACAGTGACCCAGACATTCCCTGTAGAAGCAGATAGCATTCCAGTCACATTCCTCAGGAAATTCCAGGGGTTGGACAGTTTCATTTGGCTGGCGGGAAGCGAGACAGGGAGCCCCTCTGCCCTCCCCAGGGTGTGAGGGCTCGGACAGGGAAATAAACGTTTTCCGATAAGCCGTGTGTGCCTCTGTGGTGCCAGGTGGGAATACGAGGGATTCATGAGCAGCACCAATAACGCCTCAGCGTAAACGCGTCTCCGTGTCTGCACGCGTTACAGAACATGGACTTCTGACATTTGTGGGAAAACTCAACAGTTAACGAAACATCCCAGCAGTAGAAACTGTCTCGTGTTCCAGGAATGTAAAATCCTGCAAATAATGACCAGATCATAAGTTTGGCTTTTAAAATGTGCAGTTTGAGACCTTCATGCAGGAGTGGGATCGGAAAACAGTCCTGGAATACTGTCCCTCAGATTAAAGCACGTGGAGGTTCAGTTCAGCACATAATACAGAATAACACCGACAACCTTTAGGTCGCCAAATAGATGTTTAAATATTTATTTTGGATCATTTTAACTGAGATATTCACCAAAAACTCCGCTGCTGATCACAGTCGGCTACTATTAGGCATGAGCAATGTAATCTGGTGATAGGCTAATCCCAATCCCACAGTCTGAACAGTGTTCCTGGTTCATGAAGCAGCATGCTAAGCCAGCAATAACATATGGAGTTTTTTACATCTAGAATCAAAGTTTTTAGGGAAGTCTGCATCAAAAAACACTGTTTTAGGATTCTGATCATCCATAATCTGGTCATGGGTATTGATTGGCTCCCTCTTTCTCCTTAAGCTAAACTCTCTGAGGTCATGTTGATGTTTACAACCCTCACCCTGTCACACTCAGAAGTTTTTCCCAAAGTTACATTTAATAAAATCTGTAGGTTTTGTTGAAATGAGTTTTTTGGGACCTAATTTCTTTGTCAAATCCTGATTTCACCACTTCATCTCATACTTTAGTGATATTCTGGCCGGCTGTAGTTACTGAGCAGCCTCCGTTAACCTGTACGTCCTTCAGGACTGATGAGCTAGTACATTTTCACATAATTAGGTTATTTTAGCAGAAACATTAGAAAAACCTTGTTGTTCTTGTCTTGTCTCCATGGTGACGCGGACATTTTGCTGCTGTTGTTGATGTTTACTTTTGTAAATAACCTAAACATTCCATATAAATATCCGTAGTGGAAAACGATGATGTTACGATGCCATTGTCTGGGCTGAGCTCACAGACTAGCCGTTAGCTCATCAGTCCTGCTGGACGTAAGCTTTATAACTTGTGTTGGAACGATTCAGAACCTGTTCATTTCCCTGGAGAGTGTGTGTAACATGGCCGAACGATGGCGGTCATCATTAGTTTATCATCAGATGTTCTTGATTAACACAACCAGAAGCTGCTGAGCCAGTGAGCGGCTGAAAGAGACCCACCTTCTCCTGTTAGCCGTGTGTTTTTGTATACTGCATAGTGCGAATCATGACTGGCTGCTTCCCTGGAGCCACGTCATCTTCAAACAATAACAGCTTTGTTACGACGCTGACTGACTGACGTCTCCAGATGAGAGAGCGGCTCTGTGAGGAAGCCAGTAATCCTACAGACGCACGGAGGAAGCTGATAGCGATAATTAGTCTCTCGATAAGAGCAGCCGGCATTAGCAGATATGTGGCTAATTAATTAGGATCGGTGATATCAAAGGGCCCTACCAGGCGAGGTGTCCATCAGCTGACTAATAGATTCAGGCTGTCCTCTTGTTTTTGTTTTTAACGTTCACAAATGGTTTCTGTTGCTCCAGCTAATCGGAACTTTGCATCCTGGACGAGCCCCCAGTTTAGATTCTACCTCATTGGTCTGATGCATAAAATAAGGACTTTGATTTTCAAACCTCACCAAGCAGCTTTAGAGGTGTGACCAGGTAACTTGAGTCAATGAGAAGGGTGGAAGACTCCGAGTTCAGCGTTCATTAACGCCCGAGTCTAGGGATGGAATAGGGCAGCATTTGTTCTAGAGCAGAGCTAATATACTAAGTCATGCTTGTTTGACTTGCTCCAAATCTGTGCTCCTTATCTACTGGGTGTCCAAGTGCATGCACATGTTGGTCCGGTGGTTCTGCAGCTGAACGTTGACTGAATCCACCCTACAAAGCTAACAAAGCTAAAGACAAACAACAGCGACACACAGACTAATGATGAGTTACCGGCTCGCCTCTTTATGTCAAAGAAAAGAGCCGTCCTCTGATATCATTACCCTCGGGTGGCGGCTGTTGTGATTAAAAAAAGGTGCTTTAAGAAAACGGAGATGATTGAAAGATTTGGGAACTTGTTCCTCAGAAGCGTCCTCTTCACCAGGATCAGGGTTTTCACGGACGCGCAGCTGGAAAGCTGGTTAGCGTCTTTGTTGTTTTCTATTTAATCATTGAAAACATAAAACATTACTGGCAATAAAGGAGTCTCTCGTGCTTTTCACACATCATGACTTTACTACCTGCAGTCCGGTGGGGAATGTGCTGGTAATCACTTCTGCTACATAGCGACGCAGAACGAAGACTTTTTCAGATCTGATTTGTAGTTTTGGCTGATTTAAAAAACAACATGAAGATTTGAGCGCGTCAGACTTTGACAGAGGTGTCTGGTTCTTGGTTTTTGCTGTCAGCTGTAGGAAGCGTAGCTGCCAGTCGCCCGCCCGGGCTGACAGGCTGCACTTCAGTAAGGAGTCTTTCTCTGAACTCCTCACATCCAGGCAGTCGTCTTCAGATCAAACTGACAGGAAACACAGAGCTATGAGCCCTCTCAGTCCCGTTAAAGTTGAATAAAAATGCTATCAGAGCAGCAAAAACATCTCGTCAGTTTGATTATTCTACCGATTGGAAGGCGATTAGAAACAAAACTAAAGCAGAATCACGAGTCGTGTCTGCGAACTCTTCCATGTGTTTATCCCACGTATTACTGACCCTCACAGCCACCGCTTTTAAACCAACTTCAGGAATGTGGAAGCTGACTTCATTAAAACGGTTAGTGCAGAGGGCTGCAGGTGACTCGCTCTTTAATAGGTGAGCAAAGGGAATTTAATGTCAGCGACTTCAACGACCATTAGAAGCAATAATCTGATCAATCATTTCTGTGCCGAGCACCGGAGAGAAGAGGGAGCCAGCTGGATGGAGCCGGTGGGCGAACTGACCCGGCCCTGGAACAAAACCGGCGCAGGAGCTTCTGCTGCTGAGCAGAAATAAAGGATCCGTCGGGAAAAGCTAGCCTCTGGTTTGTGAGGTGATCAGTGCTGCTGCACTCCCGAGAGATCAGAAAAAGGTGGTTTTACCCTGGCAGGGGTTTCCGTGGCGCGCTCTCATTTACCGTTGCTAGCTGTTTGAGTGGATGCTACAAATCCACCTGATGCAGCTGCTCCACAGCTTGCTGCTGGAGCCAGACCCTTTGTTTTCCATTCTGGTGACTTATTAAACCGAAACACCTGCCTGGACCTTTGTTTGGCCCTAATAGGCCAAATGATCAAATATGACCTTTCAGTGGCCATGTAGGCACAGCTCGTCCCTGTGGGGGGGCTGCCAGGTGCAGAGTCTCAGGCTTGAGTCTGTGGAAATGTGAATATGATAACTAATTCCTTCACTGTGTGTGTCCAAGGTCACAATCTGCTGTCCTTTTCTCTTCCAGTAACAATGCAGACGGAGTGAATGGGAGGAAGGCTGGTTTTGTTTCCAGGAGCTCGGCGCTGGCTCCTGCAGAGAACTGGCACTGCGTCGGGAAAATAAACAGATTTCTGCGAGGTTGTTAGGTCCAGGGCCTGAATACACCTCTTCGCTCCACTTGACGGCGTACGACAGCCCCGCGCTCCTGATTACTGTTCTGTGCCGTTACTGACACTCAATTACAAAGTCATCTTCCTCTAGCAGAGGTCATTTAAATAGTAAATGTCTGTTTCTGGAGCTTTCAGTGAGCCTGTCGCAAATCAGTCCGGTGGAGTAAGCGGCTGTGTGTCCCAGACATGAAGGCTCGGTCAGGATTTTGTGATTTTGGTTCTCCTCGCGGTAATTTTCCACTCAGGGCTCAAGAACCATCTTTACATTAGGAAATGGCTTATGGATGAGCCAGTGGAGTGTAGCCAGTCGGACAACAGCGAACCAGTGACCGCTTGTGTAGGACGGTGAGGATTAAAGGGAGGCTCGGGCGAGGCTTGGGGGGTTTAACAGTAGGTGGTCTCTTTCAGGTGCTCATGGGGGCGGAACACCTAAAGATCCACCCAGAGCTATTAGAACGGGTCAGATGTTCCACAGCATCATCCGTCTTTTCATTCCCTCTCAGCTCCCTGCCAGCCAGCGGAGGACATTCACACCAGTTCCACACAAAAACCTCCATGACTGGCCGTCTTTTCAAACACTGGATTGAGACTATTGAAGGTGGACCACTGACACAATCTACGTTAAGATGGTGATTGGAAGGAAACGTATTAAATGTAAGTTTTCACTGGAGCCTTTAAAGCCAGCATGTCACAGGGCTGTTGACTTTTGACACGTGTCCTCACCGGGTCCTTCTGGGAGAAGTTACCAAACCGGAGTCGTCGCTTTCCTCTGAAAGGGTTGGCTTCAGACTGTCTGGAGGTTGCTTTACATCTGTGATTGAACTCGGATCTCTTTGTGAACTTTGACCTTGTCTCACGTTATTCTGACCCTGTCACCACTGAACTTGGTTTATGAACTGTAGAGGCCAACTGGGAGGAAATGACATCAGAGGAACATAGGGTCTAGTATTTGTTGTGGGGGTGCTCCCGCCTCCTAGTGGTGTAATGAGGGTATTGCAAGAGTTTATTACGTGGATGAGGATATTTGAATAAAAAAGTAAAATATATGTTAAAAATATTTTTCATCAACACGTCAGAATTCAGATAAATAACAAAAATTCTCCTTATTAATGTGAAATATTTAAGTTAATTTTCTCAGTTTGTTTCACTAAATAAATAAAGTTCAGTGATGCCGTTATCAGGATGAAGTGAGACTCGTGTTTTCTGTTTTGGTGCAGGAAGTCTGTAAGAATCTGAAATCGTACTACAGACGGTTTTATAAAGTCTCCTCTGGAAATGAAAAAACTAAAGGGACATAAAACTCTCAGATGGAAGTGCAAGCCTAGCGTAAAAATGTCAACTTTCACAATATCTGGCTTGTGCCTAATTTTTCACTGATTACAAATAAAATGACTAAAACCAGGATAAACGACCACAGCTTGGGACTCACTTGCAACGCAACGTTTGGTTAAATGCTGCGGTTTCCTCCCAAAAGTGTCCCACTTCAGTGGCATCCCAAATGGAAATGTTTCCGTTTTCCCACGTTGTCGTGTCCGAGTCCCTAACGTCTACAGCCCAGTGAGATGGATTTAAATGCCTGTATGGGTGCGTCATGAGAGCAGGCTTACCTTTAATTGGACCATTTCTCTGCAGGCAGCCGCATTCATGTGTTGCACAGACATCCCAGACCAAAGTGTCAGTGTAATGTCCCTTCGAGGCACCCATACTCAAATTTAAAGTGCGTTAAACAGTTCGACAGAGAAGTCATTGCTTCTTTGCTAATGTAGCAGATGAGCTGGAGGTCTTCTACAAGCTTTTAAATGTTCAAGATTCATGTCCATGTTTTAGTGAAGTCTGGATGATGTCACCAAACCGGTGACATGTGAGCCAAAGGTTTCACGGACCTTGGAGCTTTTAAAAGAAGACGACGTGGTTCTTGCTGCGTTTATGTGAAGTTGGGCGCAGGGCTGGGCCTAATCGACTGTTTTTACTGTGTCCTGTACTTTTGTACTCAGTATGTGAACATGTTTTTATTTCTTTTGACTGTTGTGGGTTGTAACCTGTGGAGATGAAAAAATAAATAAATGAAATGAACGAAGAGAGAAGGCCGAGTGAAATGCAGCGCTCCTGGCTTATGTGACATTTGTAAAGCACCTTTCTGAGTCGGAGGACTCCAGAGTGCTTTACACGACAGCAGGGCTATATTCCGGGTCTGGTATCCACGCTTTAGTTTCGACCCGGCTCCAACACACCTGGTTTCAATCAGCAGGTGATTAACAGGCTTCTGCAGAGCCTGATGAGCTGCTGCACTGGTGATTCAACCACTCAATCTAGTGTGTTGGAGCAGAGAAACCACAAAAACATGCTGGATACCGGCACGAATAACCCTGCACTACAGTGAATCATTCCCACACCGATGGTGATGAGCTACGTGGTAGCCACAGCTGCTCTGGGACACACTGACGTTTCTTGGCTGAAAAGATGGGATTAGCAACATTTTAATGCCCGATCCTCGCGTCACCTTTCAGACATAAAATCCATATGAAGCCGCGAAGCTTCGATGGGTTGAACTGGTCTCACTACGTTTTCCGTTGTTGGTGCCAATTAGAGCCGAGTGAAGCCTCCTGCTGGAGCAGACCTGCTGTTAATCTCCTCTGTGGTTTTAGTCCGATGTCCCCATAACAATCATCCATCACAGCAATTATGTTGTTGGAAAAACCACATTCTCAACTGGTAAAACTGGTTTTGACAAGATGTCAAAAAGATTCAAATCAATAAATCTGAGCCTTGTATCGGCTGGGCGCTGCTCCCATCCCAGCCGAGGACGGAGCTCGTTTTGCTGTCAGGAAATTGCAGCTGTCCGATTTTGACACGCAAACATCCTGCAGTGGAGCTGGTGTGAGATCAGAGCTACAGAAGGAAGTTAAAATATATAAAAAACAATACAGGATGATGCTGAAAGTTGAGAATATTTCTGTCAATTACCTAATTTAAAGCAATATTTCAGCAATTTCTTTAAAAAATAGTCCAAATCTGACAAAAAGGACAGAAACAACAGTCTGACACTCCTGTCTGGTTAACTGTGGCACCCGAGTGCAGCTGAGTGGACAGGCGGAGACAAAGTGATGAGAGAAGGACGTGATTTACAGCAATAATGGGGAAATAACACTAAACTAAGTACAGCTGCACAATATATCGCAAATATATCGTTATTGCGATATCAGCATGCACAATATGCATATCGCAAAGAACATAAATATCGCCATGAATGGTCAGCTCGAAGGTTTGCTGCGCATGACGCATTCTGTCCATCAAACAAGCATGGTGTTTTTTAACAAATCAAATAGAGCTCTTCACCCGTTTGGCCAATCGGGTGGGTTCTCATAGGTTAGAGTCCCGCCCCCGAGGAGGGCAGCGCTTCATTTAGAAGGTTAGCAAACCCCTGAGTTAGCTTTGCTCTCTTTCTGCTGATTCTGCTTTTCCCGGGATCCACTGATGACCTTTTCTTGTTCTTTTCATTTTTCCGTTTCCTCACATCTTTTGCTTTTCTCATTTTTATGATTTTTTTTATTTCTTTGTTTTTGATTATTTTTGTTCCCGAATGAAGTTTTTATTTATCGCAAGTGATATCATCATCCTCATATTGCGCAGCCCTACAACTAAGGAATAAACTTCGTGTATAATTTTGGTTTATGATCATTTATGTGTGTCGGATTCATTTTGAAACGTTTCTGAGGAACAGTAATCCACGGGTGATGCCCTGAGTTTAGCTAACAGCTCGTCTGAGCTCAGCCGGGACCAAAGTGCAGATTTGTCTTAAAACTAATTCAGTCCCCTGCATTGATGCGACATTATCAGTGTCACGTTGCAGTTATGACATGAAACGTTCCAGTTGTTTAGTAATGTAAAGGTCACACTTCCAGGGCATCCATGGCCAAGTCTGACCTGCAGGAATGTTTTCATATTTCTGCTGAAATAACCATGTTTACAAACCGCTTTAGCATAAACAGCTGAAATCTAAGATCCTGGAGGCATTTCTAGAGAACTGGAATCTGCTTTTGATGCGACGGGTCACTTAGGTTGCAATGAGCTAACGTAGCATCGCTAACCACCAGGATGACATGGCTAAAACCCACCGTTAGCTGCTGGGGACATCGAGACAAGAGGATATTAAAACACGATAGAGCTTAGTCAGTCAACCCATATTCATCTAAAAATGAGGAAACATGTTATTTACGTGGTATAATATTACAATAATAATAGAGAAATATTATAAAATGACAAACATAGAGGCATTTAAAACAACTGAATGTTCCAGAAAGGGCGTTTGGTGCCGAGCCACTGAGCCTCTCCTGCACGGTGGCCATGGTAACCTGCGAGCCCGAGCCAGGATAAATGCTTCAGACGCCTCTCCATCACGTTTAGCTGGCTGACGGTTCTGATGAGGAGTCTACCCCCCAACGCTGACCCACCCCCACATTTACCAGGTTCAGACAATGACCTCGTTCCTGGAGGGATGTGATTCCCATGTGAGTGTGTCCTCCTCACAGATCCTCTCAGTCTATGATATCCCGACACAAACATGAAATCAGACACAGAGCTTCTCCCTCTAGAGGCTCATGAGAAACACCTCCAGCTATTAATAAATGATTACTTATCAGCTCGGGGAGTTCAGCAAAATGGTAATGGTCGATATTTTTGTTGTTTTACTACGAAATGTGGGGTTCCCATCATTGCTGAAGGAAAAAACTTGATAGGATGAGGGTTTGAGGTCGGCATCGAGGTCAAACACATCAGCGGAGCCTTCACGGTCTTTCTGACTGAATTACATATTTTATCCCTTGAGATGACGAGCCAGACAGTTGAAGAGACATGTCCTGTGGTCTGATTAGGCTCTGTGAGAGCAGGTCTCAGCACATCGCTGCTACTGTAGCACTGGCAACCGCTCTGGGTCCGACCCCCTTTTACCTTCACAACTCCCTTCATTTTTCATGCCACAGATCCAGCAAGCGGTTGTAGAACTTCCTCAGATGTTCTGGTCCATATTGACAAGACAGCATCACACAGTTTAATCTATGATGTGAATCCATTTCCCTAAGGTTCTGGACTGGATTAAGATCTGGAGGACATTGTAATCCAGCGTGGTCATAAAGGGAGGGACATGGTCGGCTGTAGTGTCTAAACCAGGCTCAGGTGGTACTAACTGGTCCAAAGTGGGACAAGAACTGTATCATTTAAATATTCATAATTCTACATTTCAGTAACAGATGAATCAAAAACCTGCAACAAATGACTTCAGGTTACTGCCCGTGGCTACTTTATGTATTTAAATGACTGATGTGTACACAATAAAACAAAAGATCATTCAAGTATCACACAAATAAAATATGGTAATAATTATTTAAAATAATTGGATGTAATTTTCTAGTCATTTTTTTCATTAATCAGGGTCTAAACTCAGATGAAGTGGCTAATAAGAAAATAATGATTCATTATTAGTGTGACGGTGAGCGTCCTGTCACTGCATCCCGACTGATGATGCGCCCTGGCGACCTGACCAAGGGGATGTCCCGTTGGCTGACCGGTTAGCACGCTTGAGTCACACCTGGGGGTCTGGGGATCGAATCCCGCTTGGCCCTCATTTCTTCACCTTGCCACATTAGCAGCTTGTTTATTACCACTAACTGCCCTTAGCCCTAATTCACACTGGAGGCATCAGCAGCGCAGCACGTCTCTGCTTCAAACAGAACTCATTATTGTCTATGGATTGATCCAAAATGGCCATGGCGCGGATTATTTCAGGCGTGTCCCAGAAGCAGCTTCTTGTGCCACTAAAGATCGGATCGGGCTCTATTTTTCCCGCGAGCTGCTTCTGGGATGCATCATAGGGTTAGACAGGAGATCACATGGACAGATTTGAGTGTCCCGATGATCCTAGGAGCTAAACTGAAAGAGGCTTTTGTCATGATTCCCCCTTTTTGTGTTTGTCTAACCCTCTTCTCTGTTGTTTTGTTCAGGTCAGCTGCAGCTCCTCTCAGGAGCCCTCCCCTTCCCTGTGAACCTCCTGAGTGCTGCAGCTGAACCACATCACCTTGATTGCCCTCACCCTATTTCAGGCCACTGCTGCCTGTCCTCAGCGTGGACTCTTACCTAGTTGTCTGTTTATGGATCGAGTTTGGTTTCTGTTCTTGGTTCCCACAGTCAGTGGAGGAAGTTTTGTTATTAAAACACTTTTTGAACTCAGGGTAAAGACTGTTATTCCTGCGGTGGGGTTACTGCCGAACCCCCCGTGACATTACAACTCCATCAAAATGTCAGACCCAGCAGGAAGAACCCGGAAACAAGACGCTTCCTTACCTGCCTCTGGTGAAGGTGCAACAGGAGAGGCCAGTCTTCCTGTTTTGACCCAGGAGCGCCGCAACTGCATGTCTGGATTGCAGCAATAACATGGACATTTAGCCAGACTGGAGAAAGCGCCTACTCCGCCTCGACAGGTCCGTTTGGGTTATCCTGAACCTTTTGCTGGTACCGCAGGGATTGTCGACCATTCCTCACCCCCTGTCGGCTCCATTTCGACTTTAACCCAAGCGAATTCCCCTCAGAGCAGAGCAAGGTGGCGCTTGCTTTGAGTTTCCTGGCGGGCAGAGCCAAGAGGTGGGGGCTGGCTGAGTGGGATCGAGGAGCGGAGATGGTTCGTTCCTTCAGGGCCTTCTCCACTCAACTCCTCGTGGTGTTTGACCCCTCCACGCCGCACCGCACGGCTGCTTCTGAGCTGCTCCGGCTCAAACAAGGAGATGACAGCGTGGCGTCCGATGCAGTGAGGTTCCGGATGCTGGCGGCAAGCTCCCGCCGGCCTGATGACACACTGGTCGACATCTTCCTTCAGGGGCTCTCCAGTGTGCTCAAAGCTAGCCGCGAGGGAGGTTCCTGAGGAACTGGAGGGTCTGATCGCCCTGGCTACCCGCATCGATCGGCGGAGGATGGAGCGCCTTCATGATGAGCACCGCTTGCTGACTTCCTCACCTCGTCCTCACCCGACTTCCGTGAGTGGTCCTCACCTGGGCAGTGATGCCCCGCCCACGGAGCCCATGCAGCTAGCGG